TTAGCCTCCACAGATACGCTGCCTCAAGCCAAAACATCCCCCTCGATGAAAACATCCACCCGTACCAACCAGGGGACTGGATATTAGCAAAAACATATCACAAGGTACCCCTACAGCCCACCTGGGAGGGCCCCTACCAAGTACTTTTAACCACTCCAACTTCTATTAAGGTAGCGGAAAAGACAGCCTGGTTGCATCACACCCGCTGCAAGCCGGCTTTGCCACCTGAACCCACACCGGACGACTCGCCCTACCACGTCCCACGCCAACCAGCAGACGACGACAACTGCAACGAGCAAAACCAACAGACCGGACCAGATCGGGGCACGAATCGGGCCCAACAGACCGGACCAGATCGGGGCACGAATCGGGCCCAACAGACCGGACCAGATCGGGGCACGAATCGGGCCCAACAGACCGGACCAGATCGGGGCACGAATCGGGCCCAACAGACCGGACCAGATCGGGGCACGAATCGGGCCCAACAGACCGGACCTGACTCACCTCTCACATCAACGTTGTGGTCTTCCGAACTCGTCACTACACCTAGCCAAAAAGATAAACCCCCCATCCGCCTAAAACTCCGCAAGGTATCACCGCCCCCATTTGACAGCTCTGCCGTTTGACAGCTCCACCATCCGCCGCTCCTCATCTGACAGCTCTGCAGTTTGACAGCTCCACCGTCCGCCGCTCCCCATTTGACAGCTCTGCAGTTTGACAGCTCCACCATCCGCCGCTCCTCATCTGACAGCTCTGCAGTTTGACATCTCCACCGCCCGCCACTCCCCATTTGACAGCTCGACTATGACAACCACCATACCCATCCTCCTCCTCCTTCATCTCACCACCGTGCTCTCCCAAAACACCACGAGCACACATGCCTCTTGTCCTGGATTACAAACTGAATACAAATACCTGGACTTTGGGATTGTCGACATGGTGAGAAAAGGGACACTAGACCGCCTTGGAGATTTTGAATTCTGCCTACCAGAGACTCGCGTCCTCCTTCGACACTCTATCTCACCTGTCCTCGACACACACCAATCCTGGGAACTTTTTGTTCGCTCACCATCATTCAGACCTCTAGGGAAACTCATCCTTACCAGAGACGGCCCTTGGAACCGTGCCCATTGCCTCAATGGTTCTTACGTGCTTTTCTCGGACGGTACACCTGAACAATCACTGAACTGGACTGCCCTCGATAACGGTGGTGGAGAATCAGTTTATACTGACCAGAACCACCCCACTGATCGTTTGATCCACGGATTTTACTGCCAAAGGGTAGATTCCACCCCCCGCCAAACCGTTTTACAAGGCATCTGCCTCCGAAGGTACTGCTGCGTCTGGGATATTGGATTAGCCTCCAATTGGGACGGCAAAGCATACCTAGAAGGATGGCATCACTCAGTACCGCCTACAGCAGAATGGGACACCACCGGGCCACAGAGATGCGGAGGCCTAACCACCAATTTGACCTACTTGTTGCGCCAAGACCCCCTTCATCCTGCCGGCACCGCACCTCGACAAAGGGGGGAACTGTCAATGTCCCAAGACCCCAACAACAACGACCTCCTGTCCACCTGGCATTCCAATACCTATGTGAAACTCATCTCCCAAATCGCAAAACAAACAACCACCAACGAATGCTGGATCTGCGCCAACGCTCCCTCACACCTCCACAGTGGCATACCATTCCTTGGAATGCCCCTCACCTTGGAACAACATCTTTCCGCTGATGTACGGTCCTGGAACCTGACCGCTGTGAACTTAACCCACCAGTACATCTACCTCACCGGACCCGCTACAGGCGACCTCTGCCGAAAATTCAGCGGCAACGACAAAGTCATCGGTGAAAGTACCTGTAAGTACACCATTGATATTACCTTAAGCGGCAGAGTTACCCTATGGCACCAAGGCAACCCTTCTACCCACCCTACTTTACTGTCCGCATGGAAGCGTGTAATGAACTTGCCTGATCCCTGGGACCCTTCCCCAATTTCCCAGTGTTTCTTCCGCACCTTCAATACTGGGCGCATAGACTCGTGCCTGCAAGGGTTGTTCTGGATCTGTGGCCACCGCGGCTACGTCTGGGCTAGCCCCCACTCCCGTGGCACCTGTTACCTTGGACTGATTTTACCTGGGGTCCGCGTTACCCAAGAGCTTCCCCCTGGAAAGAGGCGAAATAAGAGAGCAAAAGACTTGTCGGAGCTCTCCGATGTTGCAGCCAACGGAGAAACTTACGCCCGAGCCCTCTTTCCCGCCTATGGGGCCGGCTCAAACCACGTTGACATCCTCAAACTGACTGACATACTGCTGAACTTTATGGAGGAATCCAATGCAGCTACCCAATCCATCTTAACTGAACTAACCGAGGTCAGGCAAAATTCAATCCAGAACCGCCTTGCTTTGGACTACGTACTCGCCTCGACTGGAGGGGTTTGTGCCCTCATAGGAACCGAATGCTGCACGCACGTCACTGATCAGACCTTGAACATCACAGGGCACCTTAATAACATCTACAAACTGACCGATAAACTCAGGGATATCCAACACGAGGGCCTATCGGACACTCATTTCTGGAGCTGGCTACCTGGGTCGACTTGGATAAAGCAACTTCTGGGGAACGGCCTCTTAATATTGATCACTGTTGCCATCTGCATTGTTTTCTTCTGCTGCATGATCCACTGCTTCCCAATGTGCTGTCAAACTTGCGGCTCTTGTCTTCCTATCCTTCATCCGCGATCGACCCCCATCTACAGACCACCGGCATCGGAAATCCAATCAACTCCCATCGAGATGGGACCCTTGCACCACCTCCGGACCCTGGACTCTAGGTATGACATGTCAAGCCTCTATTGATTATGCGGAGAGAAGGATTGCGCGGTTTTCCTACCTTCGCAATCTTATCTCCGAAGGGGGGAACTGTCGCCGGAAACCCCCCCCCCCAACTCACTGACACGTGTTACACAAGCACCACACTCACACACGCATACATTCCCCCTTCCTGACCCTGGAGATGTCCCTTTTAGAGGGACATCCCTTAAAGCCTTCCGTAAATAAGGAAGCGCTGGCTTCACAGCTCCCCGCTATGGCGCTCCGCATCGCCCTATTTTTATTGAGAGTAGACCGGCCGACCGAACTCTGCTGTCAATCGGCGCCCGCCTCAGCCAATCAACATTACCGAACAGCGCCCCTTGCGGCGGCCACGCGGGTACTGCAGGCTACTGCCGCTCTCCCCCTTACCTTTGACAGCTCTCAATACAAGGTTTCTGAGTTCAATTGACCGTGACTGATTTAATCAAAATGTAGCAAGCCGCTTCCTGAAAGCGAAAGTGCTTTGAACTTCAAAGACAATATTCTTCATAAATTCACTAAAAATCAGCCGTACTTCGGATTTTCACCGGACCACTTTTATTCTGCTGGATATTACAAAGACTATCAAAGGGGGGTGGTCCGAAATCAAGCGGCCATAATCCCTTAACCGAGCAGTCACGTACTCTGTGTTCCTTCCTACTAGACGTGACCACCTTGATAGCCATCAGTGATCGGCTCAGACAGGAGGCTATCAAAGACACAATGAACTGCATATCTTGGTGTATTCCGCGCAGACATACACAAAAGACTGTGATCGGACTCTCCTCAGGGGGCAGGAAACTTTGCCCTCTTCCTTTGTTTTCGTATATGACTCATGCGGGGAGGGGGAAGGGGGCTCCGGCCAGGTGTCAGGACACTCGGGTTACCTGCGCGGCCCCTCCCCAACCCCTCCTATTTTTAATATAATCGTGATGTAAATGTGATGTAATTCTGAGGGTGTAGCTTAGGGGATTAGCAACTAATAAAAGTTAGGGTCTCCCTTTGTTCGGGGCTTCCATTTTGCTTCACCTTGTGGGCGGTGGGAGTCCTGTCGCGACAGTCTTTCTAAATAAAGACCAAGCCTACTGGCTGCTGTTTTGCTCTGACTTGCTCTGGTCGGTGTCTTCATTTGCCCAAGAGGACCCTTGAATTTCCGTTAACAGCCCAAAGCACACACACAAAATTATATATATATATATATATATATATATATATATATATAATATATATATATAATTATATATATATATATATATATACACACACACACACACACACACCCCCTGCTAGATCTGGAACCCTTTTGTAAGTAATTGGGGACGGGGACAAACTCAACACACACCCACAAAAATTGCCCAGCTTCCTTTTAGATGCCATCACCATCCTTTAAAAAAGAGAGGAAGGGAGGAAGGAAATAGGGAGGGAGAGAAGGAAAGGAACGGAAGGAAAATGGGGGGGGGAGGGGGAGAGAAGGGAGGAAGGATGGAAGGAAAAAGGGAGGAATGTAAGGAAAGGGGAGGAAGGGGCTGAAGGAGAAGGAGAGGAAGGAAGGATGAAAGGGAGAGAAGGAAGGAAGGATGAAAAAGGAAAGGGAGGAAGAGAAGGAAGGAAGGAAAGGGACAGAAGGGGCTAAAGGAGAAGGAAGGGAGGGAGGGAGAGAAGGGAAGGAAGGAAGGATAGAGACGGAAGGGAAGGATGGAAGGAAAGGGACGGAAGGGGCAGAAGGAGAAAGGGAAGGAAGGAAAGGGACGGAAGGGGCAGAAGGAGAAAGGGAGGGAAGGAAGGAAGGATGAAAGGAAAGAGGGAGGGAGAGAAGGAAGGATAGAGACGGAAGGGAAGGAAGGAAGGATGAAAAGAAAGGGAAGGAAAGAGGAGAGGAAGGGTGGAAGTAAAGTGAGAGAGGGAGGGAGGGAAGGATGAAAGGAAAGAGGGACGGAAGGAGGCAGGGAAGGAATGAAGCAGGGACAGAGGGAGGGAGGGCGGAGAAAAAGAAAGAAAAAGGCAGACAGACGACCCGCAGCAGCAGCAGCAATCGCCCCCCAGTCCCTGCCAGTTGCCCCCCAAGAGTCCAGGGCGGCGCAGGGGGAGGAGGCGAGGAGGGCGTGGCTGTCATTTGCCCTCCCCCTGCTTCCCCCCCCTTGGGCGCATGCGCGCTCCCGGCCGCTCCTCCCGGCGCCGGCTCTCATTGTTGGGCACCGGGTGACGCGCGGGCGTCGCGGGGCGAGGCTCGGGCGCCTGGTGGGTGCGGGGCAGCTGGCTGGACTCCCCTCCTCCTTCTCCTCCTCCATCCTTCCTTCCCTCCCTCTCTCTCTCTCTCTCCTCCTCCTTTCTTGGATGGGCTTGCAAACAAAAGAGGGGGGCTGGGCGAAGGGGCTGGGGCGCGCGCAAAGGCGGGCGGCGGCTGGGGGCGGTGCGCAGCCCCCCAAAAGCCGGGGGTCCCAGGCTGGGGGGCCAGCAGGAGGAAGAGGAGGAGGAGGAGGGAGAGGGAGGAGGGGGTCGGGGCCCTGCCATGCCCAGCGCCCTCTGCCAGCTGGAGGGGGGGCCCGGCACCTGCTGCCCCCCTCCCGGCTTGGGCAGCTTGCTGCTGAACCCCCAGATCCCGCCCCCCGCTTGCTTCGACCCCAACAGCATCCTCCTCCCCAAGGGAGACATCTCAGAGCATCCTTCCTCTCCTCCGGCGACAGAGGACCACCAGCGGGATGAGGATGCTGAGGATGGAGATGATGGAGAAGAAGAAGAAGAGGACCCCTCCGCCGCTCTCCGCTTCGCCCTGGACCAGCTCTCCATCTTGGGCTTGGCCAAGGATGGGGAGGAGGAGGAAGCGGCTAGAGGAAAGGCGGAGGAGGAGGGCAGAGGAGGAGAAGAGGAGGAGGATGCGGCGGCGCAGCAGCAACATCAGCATCCCGAGAAGGATGGAGACCATGGACCGCTTCTGGAAGAGGCAGAGGGGCTGGACCTCTTTGCCTATGCCGGAGGAGCAGCAGGAGCACCGGCGGCTCTGCCCCTCCTGGGCCCCGAAGTCGGCAGCGCCCCGCCGGCCCCCGAGATCTTTGGGGCCTTCCCGGCCCACTTGGGGCCCCCCCACGCCCCGCAGCCCCCCCTGCTGGCCGGGCAGCACCTGGGCAGCATCGGAAGCCGCAAGAGGAGCGTCAACATGACCGAGTGCGTCTCCGTGCCCAGTTCGGAACATGTGGCCGAAATCGTGGGCAGGCAAGGTAAACCCATAAAAGCTGCCATTGATGGGGAACCCCTGGGGGGGGGTTGGGGGGCGCTGGTTTGCTTGGCCCACCTTGGAACAGGAGCCCAGCAGGTAAGGCGCCGTGACGCGGAGACCCTTTCCGAAATGCGCAAATAATAATTTTACTCTTTATACCCCGCTTGCCTTGCCAAGGCACCCACTTAGTAAAACTCACTTGTGAGTTTCCTTTGGGGGGGAGTGGTCATTATTATTATTTTTGCATGTGGGGGCCTGTCTTTTCAGTGCGGCCTGCCTCTCTCTCTCCCCCCCCCCCCCGCTTAACTTTCTTTTAAGCAAGAAATAAAATGGGCATCTTTTAGGCAGCGCCTTAAGAAGAAAAATCCCAAGGCCAGAGCCATTTCCCTCTCTCTTGGAAATGGGGTTTTCATGGAGGGAGGGTGGAATTAGAGGACAGGCATGCTTGCGGGGGGGCGGGCATATTGGGAGCTAAGCTAGAGGACACCCCTCCTCCAAAAAATGGTCTAACATAAATATATCTTTACCGTTTTTCAACATAGGATGGAAATTGAGAGGGGGGGATTTACCTCTCTGTGACTTCCTCCCCCCCAAAAAAATACCCCCACCAAATTGCTTCCCACCTGAGTTTATAAAGGCAGCCCTGTAGAGCTTTTTCTCGCAGATTTTAAGGCCTCTAATGATTTCCCCCAAGCCAGGAACTGCCTTAAACTCCAGGCCTATCCCATTTCTGCTTTGGGGTAAATGGGGGGGGGAACCCCACACAAACCCCAAATCCTTTTGTTCTTCTGTATCCCAGGAACAGCGAGAAGGGAAGGGAAGGAAGTTTGGGAAGCGCTTGACTTTTTTCCCATCCCAAAGCGAAATAAATCAGTGTCTCTTTTTATATCTGTTCAGACCTGCCCTCGCTTTTATAAAAAGGAGAGAGACAGAAAGAGAGAGTTTTGGGCAAGAGATTTTTGATATTGGAGGGGGGGGCTGGAATCCCTCCTCTCTGGGAGACCCATGTCAGCCTGTGTGCAAGGTTTGCCTCCCAACACGACCCAGGTAAAACGGTCGAACCTTTTGAACCTTCCACCGAAATTAAAATTAAAATAAAAAAGGGTTGCATTCCACCTAGCTCTGCTCAGGGTCGATGGGCCTAGAACAAACGGGCCTGGATTTCAGTGGGCTTACTCTGAGTAGGACTAACTTTGCCATCAGTCATTTCCTCACCCCCCAAATTCTTGATGGACCTTGGGGTTGCCATTTGCGTCTTTATCTTGTGTTTTGAGATGCGCTTCCAAACTTCACCTTTTCAAAATGAAACCCCTCTCTCTCTTTTTTAAAAAAACGGATGTGTCTTTGGTTCCCTGCTTGGAAAAGGAAGATAGATTTTTTTTAAAAATGGCCTAGAAAGGAGAGTAGGTCGAATATTAAACCGCCGCCCCTTTGCTTTTTGCAAAAAAATAAATTACGGATGAAAGCAAACCTGATTTTAAAGCATCTGTTTAGGTTTTGCAAAAAAAAAACAAACACCCCAAAATGGAACAGTATCGCACCCTTCCTGCTTTAAGTGTGGAACCGGTTGTGACGTGCAATTACACACACACACACACACCCAACATTTCCCCAAATCTCTATCTATCTAAGGCTAGGCTTCCCATATGCTGCAACTTTCCTTGCCTTTGTTCCTTCAGCTCCTGTGCAACGTTCCTGAATTTCCAACTTCTCGCTCTGGGGTTTTGCTTGGCTGTTTTTATATTTTCTTATTTCCCCCCTAACATTTTATTTTTTGGGGGGTGTGCATCTCTCAACACGCCCCCCCTCCCCTTTGTTTAATCTTCGCTTTGTTCCCTTTGTGAGAGGTGCACGCTGTCTCGAAAGCAGTGACATCACGCTCCCTGCTTCCGATTGGACCGCTCCGGGAGCACACACACCCCTTTCCCCGCCCCCTAGGCCACGCCCATCTTAAATTTAGACTATGCTCAGCTTCAGTTTTTTTGCACAGAATAAAGGGGGAGGGATGCATTGGGGTCAGTGCCAGATTTACGTATAAGCTAAACAAGCTCTAGCTTAGAGCCCCACTCTCTTGGGGGCCCCAAAAAAATTTAAAGGAAAAAATAGACTGAATGTACATTTCCAAAATATAAGATAAAAAGCAAATGAAATAAAACCTCCATACAGCAACAGTGTTTTGTGTTGCGTAGGCTCCTGTGATGTCAGTAGTATTATTATTTCATGTTATAGCAAGTTTCCAGAGACTAGATTATGAGTCTTTGTAAATTGTGTTTCTAAAGGAACGTTTGTTATTGCCAAATGCCAAGGTGTTTGCATTATTAAGTTTGTCGTGGATAAAAAAAAAATCACTTTAAGTTAGAGCTTAATAATTATTTCACTCTTAATATACTTCTTAATTGTATTTCACTATTAATATACTTCTTCTTAATTGTATTTCACTATTAATATACTTCTTCTTAATTGTATTTCAGTTCAACACTTACTTTGATAAAAGTATTTTGTTATGTGCAAATGGCTTGAGATACCTATTAGGTCCATAAATGACTATATAGCATATATTCAACACACACAAAACAGTGACAATTTGTCGTTGACAAAGGACAGCTGGACATATAAAAGGCCCCTTCAGGAGCTGAGGGCCACATCAAACCTGAATCCGGCCCTAGCCACGGTAGTGACATACATAAATAACCATTTTTGACACCTGGGTATTTCGGTCTGAATTATCCCCAATCAAAAAGGACGCTGGTTTTCTTTCTTTCTTTTTTTTCAATTTTTTTATTGATTTTCCAAAATTTTTAAAACAAACAAACAAGCATAAATCTTATCTATACTTAATCCAATCTTCATAACATTGTTAGGTGACTTCCTCTAATCCCCCTGGCTGAATTTCAGTGTAAGAGTTTTCCAAAACTAAATTTCTCATAAAATTTAACTTAATCAGTTAGCATCATTCTTTCTTTTCATTTTGACTTTAAACATTTTATTCTCTAACATCACCTGTTTAAATCCTAAGCCTATCTGATATTTGCAACTGATATTTGCAAGTTAAATATCTTAGCGTATTTAACTAAATAGTCTTTGAATTTCATCCATTCTTCCTGATACTCCTCCTCCTCCTCCTCCTGGTCGCGGACTCTTCCGAAAAGTCCATCATCTTCATCTGCCATTCCTCCACTGTTGGGACTTCTTGTGTTTTCCAATTCTTAGCTAACAAAATTCTAGCTGCAGTTGTGGCATACAAAAAAACAATCTGACATCTTTAAGGACGCTGGTTTTCTTGGGAAAGTACCGTATTTTTCGCTCTATAAGATGCACTTTTTCCCTCCTAAAAGGGGGAAATGTGTGTGCGCCTTATGGAGCGAATGCAGGCTGCGCAGCTATCCCAGAAGCCAGAACAGCAAGAGGGATCGCTGCTTTCGCTGCGCAGCGATCCCTCTTGCTGTTCTGGCTTCTGGGATTCAGAATATTTTTTTTCTTGTTTTCCTCCTCCAAAAACTAGGTGCGTCTTGTGGTCTAGTGCGTCTTATAGTGTCTTATAGAGTGAAAAATACGGTACTTTTGAACGTATATTTCGACCGAGAGCTAACATTTCGACCGTTTCTCTTCCGCCCGGCACTAGGGTGCAAGATCAAAGCCTTGCGGGCAAAAACTAACACCTATATCAAGACCCCGGTGCGAGGTGAGGAGCCGGTCTTCATCGTGACGGGGAGGAAAGAGGACGTGGAAATGGCCAAGCGCGAGATCCTTTCGGCCGCCGAACATTTCTCCATGATCCGAGCCACACGCAACAAAGCCAGCGGCACGGGGGGCTCGATTCTGGGTCCCCCGAACCTTCCAGGGCAGACGACCATCCAGGTCCGCGTCCCGTACCGAGTGGTAGGCCTGGTTGTGGGCCCTAAAGGCGCCACCATCAAACGCATCCAGCAGCAGACCCACACGTACATCGTGACCCCCAGCCGAGACAAGGAGCCCGTCTTCGAGGTGACTGGCATGCCCGAGAACGTCGACCGGGCGCGGGAGGAAATCGAGGCCCACATCACCATGCGCACCGGCTCCTTCGTCGACGTCAACGCCGACAACGACTTCCACTCCAACGGCACCGACGTCTGCTTGGACCTCCTGTCCGGCGGACCCTCCAGCCTGTGGTCCAAAGCTCCCAACCCGGCCCGCCGTGCCCTACCCAGCCTCCGCAGCGACGCTTCCCCGGCGGAGACCTATTTCGGCGGCCCCGTTCCCGATGGTGCCCCCGGCAGCCCATTCGGCAGCGGCTCCGGCGGCTTCCCCTTCAGCGACGCTCTGGGCTCGGACGACGGCGATTTTGCCCTCGACTTCCTCCCCTTGGAGCTGTCGGCGCCGGCCCACATCTGGTCTCCGTTCGAGCCCCCTGCCGACCCGCTCCAGGCCTTCAGCCGGTCTTCCTCCTCCTCGCACAGCGGCGCTTCACAGCGGCGCAAAAGCACGCCGCGGCACTCGCCCACCTTCCCGGAGGCCGCGGCGGCCCTGGAGCACCCGCTGGCCCGCCGGATCCCGAGCGATCCGGTCAGCGCCGTCCCCTGGCTGCCGCCGCAGGGCTCCCTCTCATCCTTCTCCAACAGCACGGGCTACTCGTCGTCGTCGTCGCTGCCCGGGAGCCTCTCGGCCGCGTCGGGCTCCCCCACCGACTCCACCGGCTCCGAGGGCCCGCGCAAAGCGTCCCGCGAGTGCATGGTCTGTTTTGAGAGCGAGGTGATCGCCGCCTTGGTGCCCTGCGGCCACAACCTCTTCTGCATGGAGTGCGCCATGCGCATCTGCAGCCGCTCCGACCCCGAGTGCCCGGCCTGCCACACGCCCGCCACGCAAGCCATCCACATTTTCTCATAGGCGCGGCGGGTTCCCGGGGGTCCGGCGGCCCCCTTTCCCCACCCCCCTTTACGAAAACACGGCTGGCTTTTTGCGAACTTCCAAACTGTTTCTATCAACCTTTTTTATATATATATAAAAAAAGCACACACAAACACGGCGGATTGCGGCGGGGAGGGAGAGGGGCGCCCCAAATGCGACCGTAAGTTACGCCTTCGCTGCGTAATAAACGAGATTTGGAGGCGGGCGGGAGGGGAATGAAATGAATTTGGGGGAGCGGGAGAGCGGGGATGGAAGTGCCGCGCCGATTTCAAGAGTTGGGCCGACGAAAATATATTTTAAAACAATATTGTTTACAGGATAGCTTTAACTTACGATCCGGGCTCAACCTTTTCTTCCGAATAGCAGTATTTTCGTTCTCTCTTTTTTTACAAACACTAACGCACCGAGCGAAAACCGAGGTCCTCCTGCACTATGAAAGGGGCCACGGATGTTGTTCTTTAATCGAGAACACCATCTATTAATATTTTTGCATATACATATTTCTCTTGGGGGGTGGTCTGCGGTTCCAGGTTTGTGGATTGCGCTCGGCTCAGTTCTGCAGAACTGCTGTCAACGGGCCAAATCCACAATCGTGCATTTAAAGCAGAACAGCGCCGCTTTGAACAGTCCCGAGGAATCTGGGAGGTATAGTTTTACAGCTCTGAGAGTTGCTAGGAGACACGCACCCTGTTGCCCTCTCGGCGCTACAGTTCCCAAAGTAGTTTAGCAACCAGCCCCGCTTCCCAGAGAACTCTGGGAATTGTAGTAGTGAACGAACTACGCTTCCCGGGACACTATGGTGCCACAAATGTGGCCGTTATTCGTGTCCCCGGACCGATTTTGGCCATGCCCACGGATCACAATGGGTCTACCCTGTGTAAAAGCCCGATCCAGCCCGATGTGTCTACCTTCTATCTGTACGCAGAGTAAACCCGTTCAGTGGGTTTAAATTGCATCAAACTCTTGGTTTTTTGCAATGAGTCTTCTCCAGTTATGGCTAACATTAGAGCTCAGGCATATTTAGGTGGACATACATATATAATTTTTGTTGGTAAGGCAAAGAAAAACCCGTTGTCCCCCCTCCAAAAAAATCCATGTGAAGAGAGGTGGAAGGGTGATTTGGGGGTTCACCGCGATCGGAAAAGATGGGGCGAATCGCCCATTATGCCAATTTAAGTCACAAATACGCACACACAGAAAGGAAAATTTGCCTGTATTTGGGGTTAGACCCATTTAAACGAATGAGTCCATTAATTTCAGTGGGCCTACTCAAGAGTAGGGGCTTGGTTACACCCCACTATTCATTTTTCTTTTTCTCGGCCTGGGTTTTGTTTTTTTAAAAAGAAAACTTTTATTTTTTACTTCTGTGTATATGTAGGGAATTTCTAGGGGAGAATAATTTACTTTATTGAATAAATTTTAAGAACTAAAATATATTTTATTTTTTAAAGGAGGGGGGAGGGGGGCTGGGACGGGGCCGGAGCTTTAACCCGACCGCGGCTAAAGTTCTTCTCATATATATATTTGGTGATATCACTTGCTGATTACGAGAATTGTATGCAGAGATTTATTTTTTTGAACTTTCAGAGCCTTCTTAATAATAAGAATAAAACAATAAGAAGAATAAAGACTTTTTTTGCTACCGATGAAGCACTTGCGTCGTGCAGCAGGGGAGTCTGGGCATTCTTGTGGGTAAACTTTCAAAGTTTAAGCATGTATCATGCCTTACAATGGATTCTGGGGGGAATGTCCTAGACCTAAGCATTCCCGGGAGCCAAATGTCTGGCCCTGGGAACTCTTGTCAAGCCACATTGCCAAAATTAAAAAATGCACCTGGGTCCTTTGGTAAGTTGGCAACCTGAATAAGCAGAGGCGCTGCGGCCAATGTGTGCATTTGGCAACCTCACAAGCTAACGTCCGTTAGAGACATTTACGCTTATGAGAGATTCATATACGATACAGTGGTACCTTGGTTCTCAAACTTAATCCGTCCCGGAAATTCCGTTCCAAAAGCAAGGCGCGCTTTCCCATAGAAAGCAATGCAGAACGGATTAACCCAGACTTTTAAGAGCAACCCCTAAAACAGCAATTTAACGTGAATTTTGCCATCTAACGAGACCATTGATCCATAAAATGAAAGCAGTCATCAATGCACTGTACTATAAAATAAATAAGACAGTATTGTAGATGATAAAAATTTAAATATATTTTTTCTTACTGCACTGATGATAGTCATGGTTTGGATGGGGGGCTTTTATCCATTTCCACAGTCACACAATCCATCCATCAGTAGCTGAACTGGGTTCCACACAGTCACAAAAACAAATGAACCGAAAAAGCCTCAAAAACAAAAATGCAAAATAAATAGCGAAGACAAAGCGCCACACTTAATCCGTTCCAGAAGTCCGTTTGACTTCTGAAATGTTCGGAAACCGAGGCACGGCTTCTGATTGGCGCAGGCGCCCTGGAAACAATAGCCGACAGCCGCATCGGAAGTCCGGCTTCCGAAAAACGTTCAAAAACCGGAATACTCACTTCTGGGTTTGCGGCATTTGGGAACCAAGGTCCCATTGTACTTTTAAAACATGTTTCGAGCTTTAAATTCTAATCGCCCCCTCGCTGGCTTTCCAGTGGGCAGCGAGTCTCAGCATCCCAGTTAAGAATTTTTTCGTCCCCATAAATTGAAGCACATGACTCATAAATTGCCGGCGGCGACCCAGGCGACTGGGCAGACCTTGCAGGGTCGTTGGAAAGAGAAACATTCGCACAACCTTGAACTCCTTGAACGAACCTTAGAATCAAATAACGTGAAACAAATTCTAGATTCAGGTAGGTAACCGTGTTGGTCTGATGCTGTCAAAACCTATTAAAAAATAAATAAAATGTCCAGTAGCACCTTAGAGACCAACCAAGTTTGTTCTGGGTATAAGCTTTCGTGTGCATGCACGAAATCTGAAGAAGTGGAACAAATTCGTTTTTCTTTTCCGCTTGGTTGCAAAACACACAGACACACAAAAGACCTTGGAGCAGTTTCACGAAACGATAAAGACGTGGAAAAAATGATCCTACTTTAAAACCGTCGGGGTGTTGAGTACTCTGGTTCCTTTGAGGTTTCAAAACAGTAGTTGGGTGGCTGTCGATAACGGATGTTTTGGCTGAGATTCCTGCCTCGCAAGGGGTTCAGCTGGATGACCTCAGGGGGTCCCACCCGACTCTGCGATTCCTCAATATCCATCACTGATGAACAAAGCACCGACAGGGCAAAGGTATTCTCGCCTGCCCCGCATCTGTGGGCCAAGGGAGGTGCGTTTGTTCTCCTATCTTTAATAGACGCCGAAAATCTAAAAGATGCCCCTTACCAGCAGGGAGTTCCAAAGGTCGTGCTGGCTAGCCTGAGAGTCTTATAAATGATTTTAATCGGTTTTACATAGGTAAACTTCGTACCCTCTTATTTTATCTCTTTGGCTCGACTGAACCTATGGACTTCCCTCCCTGACGGTTTGCAAAATTAAACTTTGCATCTTTGCATTTCGCTTCATTTCCCATCCTTGTTATATCGTTACTTAAAATATTCTATCACCTTCATGGATCAATGGAATCATTGGGGTTCCATGATCACTGCAGATGGTGACAGCAGTCACGAAATTAAAAGACGCCTGCTTCTTGGGAGAAAAGCAATGGCAAACCTAGACAGCATCTTAAAAAGTAGAGACATCACCTTGCCAACAAAGGTCCGTCTAGTTAAAGCTATGGTTTTCCCAGTAGTGATGTATGGAAGTGAGAGCTGGACCATCAAGAAGGCTGATGGCCGAAGAATGGATGCTTTTGAATTCTGGTGCTGGAGGAGACTCTGGAGAGTCCCATGGACTGCAAGAAGATCAGACCTCTCCATTCGGAAGGAAATCAGCCCTGAGTGCTCCCTGGAAGGACAGATCCTGAAGCTGAGGCTCCAAGACTGTGGCCTCCTCATGAGAAGAGAAGACTCCCTGGGAAAGACCCTGATGTTGGGAAAGATGGAGGGCACAAGGAGAAGGGGACAACAGAGGACGAGATGGTTGGACAGTGTTCTCCAAGCTACCAGCAGATGGCGGCAGTGGATAATTAAAAAACGTGGCTTTCAAATAAATCTGAATCTATCAGCCAGACCTGAACATGAACTTGAACTTGATAACTCAACCTCGGCTCCTAAATTTTGCCAACAAAGTCATACAGAAAAACTCTGTGTTTGCTGTCTCCTATTCCAGGTAAGACTTACCCAAATATCTTTGCCATTTAATTATTTTTATTTTTTCTTAAACTGCCTCGAGGCGTTGTTGTTTTTTTACAAGCGAGTGATGCGCAAATTGTACAAAATGAAATAAGAATGAGAACAGGGATAGCGGAAGACGTGATTTTTGGTTTTGACCAGTTTCTAATTTAATTCAAATTCAGTCCTCCACACTCGGAACAAAATTTCCTTTTCTTTTCCTTTCTCCCTCAAGGAAGTTTTCTGGATATCCTGAGGTTGGTAGCCAGTTTTTGCACAGATGTTTCCAAAATCACTTCCCCATACATAATAAATTACAGAGTCGTAGAGCTGTGAGGGAACCCGGCACTCAAATAAATTATAGAGTCGTAGAATTGGGACCCCGTGCAGTCATCTAGCCGAACCCCATGCAAGGAAGTTACAGCTTCATCACCGTACACAATGGTGAGCGTTTTGTCGGTTTCCAATGCCGTTTGTATATTTGAATATTTCTCGCTGTCCGGTATCTGTGACCGTTCGCTGAACTTTCTGGCCGCGCCTTGTATGATCTATAATTCTGCAGCCAGGCTGTCGAAAGGTTATTGTTGTTGTTTAGTCATTTAGTCGTGTCCGCCTTTTCATTACCCCCTGGACCAGAGCACGCCAGGCCCTCCTGTCTTCCACTGCCTCCCGCAGTTTGGTCAAACTCATGCTGGTCCCTTCGAGAACAATGTCCCACCATCTCGTCCTCCGTCGTCCCCTTCTCCTTGTGCCCTCCATCTTTCCCAACATCAGGGTCTTTTCCAGGGAGTCTTCTCTTCTCCTGAGGTGGCCAAAGTCTTGGAGCCTCAGCTTCAGGATCTGTCCTTCCAGTGAGCACTCAGGGCTGATTTCCTTCCGAATGGAGAGGTTTGATCTTCTTGCAGTCCATGGGACTCTCCAGAGTCTCCTCCAGCACCAGAATTCAGAAGCATCCATTCTTTGGCGATCAGCCTTCTTGATGGTCCGGCTCTCACTTCCATACATCACTACTGGTTATAAGGACTCTCTTTTTGCAGTAGCAGCATTGCCTACTGGTCTGCTGCTGGGCACAATGTTAACAACAACAACCAGGGTGTTTTTCCCAGGGGGAACTCACCTGGACTCAGTTCCAGAACCTCTCCAGAACTTTCACGTAGCTGCCACTCTAGCCAAGAAAAGAGGTGTTCGTGCAGAGTTCTGACCCCTCTTTATTTTCTAGAAAAATAGTATTGATATTAACAATAATACTTCTACGCCACCCATCTGGTTGTTTTGGAGGGTGCGATGGTGAGGAGAAGGAAACACACATCCTTGAAGGAAAGGTAAAGGGACCCCGGAACATTAGGTCCAGTCGTGGCCGACTCTGGGGTTGCGGCGCTCATCTCGCTTTACTGGCTGAGGGAGCCGGCGTACAGCTTCCGGGTCATGTGGCCAGCAGGACTAAGCCGCTTCTGGCGAACCAGAGCAGCACACAGAAACACCGTTTACCTTCCTGCTGGAGCGGTACCTATTTATCTACTTGCACTTTGAGGTGCTTTCGAACTGCTAGGTTGGCAGGAGCAGGGACCGAGCAACGGGAGCTCACCCCGTCATGGGGATTCGAACCGCCAGCCTTCTGATGGTCAAGCCCTAGGCTCTGTGGTTTAACCCACAGCGCCACCCGCGTCCCTCCTTGAAGGAAAAGTGGGCCACAAATATAATAATTATTCTTGTGAAACGTTGACCGCTTATAAACGCCATCTCCAACTCCTCAAAAGATTCCATCAACAGTGTCTCCGAAAATTTTTACACATCACTTGGGAAGACAGGTGAACTAATACCAGTGTACTGGAAGAAGCAAAGATCACCAGTGTTGAAGTGACGATTCTTCAACATCAACTTCGCTGGACTGGTCATGTTGTGCAGATGCCTGATGATCGTCTTCCAAAGCGACTACTCTATTCCCAACTTAAGAATGGAAAGCGTAATGCTGGTGGTCAACAAAAGAGGTTCAAAGACTCTCTCAAATATCCTCTGATTCTCTGCTAACTAAGCCGCCATGCTCTGAGCTTGGCTGACGCTGATTCCCATCTCTGTGACATTTCCACAAGCCCCAGTGACCTGATTCCGGTTTTTACGGAGAGATAGGCAGCTCCCCACCTAACCGAATCTTTCCAGGTCACCCGAATGAGGCTGCTCTCTCGCAAACGGCCGCGTTTACGCAATGCGAATCGGGGCAGCGACCAGGCCTCTCTGGGTCGCCGGTGACGCCAATAATGAGGATAATTCGAGGGTGGGAACATGGCGCCGTGCAAAGCAGCCCTCTGGTCCAAATCTCTGCCTCGCACTCCCGTCCTTTTCCCTTCCTTCATTTCTCTAATTGTCCTGAGTCACCAATGGCCA